TAAAGGGATAGTTCACCCAAAAATGAAAATTACCCCATGATTTACTCACCCTCAAGCCATCCTAGGTGCATATGACATTCTTCTTTCAGACGAATACAATCGGAGTTATATTAAAAAACATCCTGGCTCTTCCAAGCTTTATAATGGGAGTGGATGGAAGCCCAAATTTTGAAGTCCAAAAAATTTAACCAATCCATTATAAAAGAAGTCCACACGGCTCCGGGGGGTTAATAAAGGCCTTCTGAAGTGACGCGATGTGTTTGTGTAAGAAAAATATCCATATTTACAACTTTTTTAACCTTAATCTCTAGCTTCCGGTAACTGTCATACACGCATTCATGAGAGAGTGGCGTCCAGCGGATGATGTAGGACGTAGGCAAACACGGTGACGAATGTGGAAGTAATGAACGTGGAAGCGCAGAGGAGAGAGCAAAACAAAACACTGGTCACGAATTAGTAGTACAAAACGAGGATTTGTAAAGAAAAATGTCGGAGGATTTCAATATAAGCCAAGAGGACACTGGTTTTCCTTTGTTGTAAACAAAACTTGTTTCTCGCAAGACTAGCATATTCTCACCGAGTTTACGCTACGCCTACGTCATCCACTGGACGCCACTTTCTCGTGAACGCGCGTATGACAGTTGGCGGAAGTTAGAGATTAAGGTTAATAAAGTTGTAAATATGGATATTTTTCTTACACAAACGCATCGCTTCGCTTAAGAAGGCCTATATTAACCCCCTGTAGCCGTGTAGAGTTCTTTTATACTGGATTGGTTCAATTTTTTGGACTTCAAATTTTGGGCTACCATCCACTCCCATTATAAAGCTTGTTAGAGCTAGTATGTTTTTAAATATAACTCCGATTGTATTCGTCTGAAAGAAGAAAGTCATATACATCTAGGATAGCTTGAAGGTAAGTAAATCATGGGGTAATTTTCATTTTTGGGTAAACTAACCCTTTAAGCTGATATATGCCAGACACCACGCTGACCCGATCAGGAGGAGGGCAGTAGAGAGATTTGTCCAGTCTCCCGGGTCTCAAAAGAGCAGGATCAATCAGGTCAGGACGGCTGGTGGCAGCCAACACATACACCCCTAAAAATGAGAAACTATGTAGTGATTTCAGAGATCTCACAAATACAACAATGCAATCTTTTAAAGATCAAAAATGTACTCCAGAAAACTGGCTTTGCTCTACGGTCTCAGACTGATGTTTTTAAGGAAGTGCTTGGCAAAACAATTTGTTTTTAAATTTAGAATTAGATGTATTAATTTAGCAAAGTTAACAACTTTACAATCTTTCTTACTGATACAGATAGTGATGTTGCTATAAGCAATAACCACAGCTATATTAAAAGCAACAAACTATGAAACTCCTCACAATTGTTGTCGAATGAACACTACATGCTGACATGAACTACTTGGGTAGTTAACATACAATTTCAAGCAGTTTCAACAGAGTCCAGTGGTGTGACATGCTTTATATATATTTTTTGCCTAACTGTAATATAATTATACAGTTTTTTATATTACTACATTTTATTACTACCTTATACATATGCTACCGCTCAAAAAATTTGGGGTCAGTTAATTTTTAATAAAAATGTTTTTTTTTATATATTAAAACTTTTATTCTGCAAAGAAGCATTAAATTGATCAAAAGTGACAGATTTTTTTTGTAACATTACAAAAGAGTCTTTACTATTTCAAATAAATGCTGTTCTTTTGAATTGTTTTGATTATTCATCAAAAATTCCTGAAAAAAGGTTTCATAATTTTCACAAAAATATTAAGCAGCAAAATATGTGACACTGAAGACTGGATTAATGGCTGCTGAAAAAAAAAAAAATCTTTTTTTGAAAGCTTTGCCATCACAGAAATAAATTACATTTTAACATATAAAACAGTTATTTTAAATGTAATAATATTTAACAATCTAACTGTTTTTACTGTATTTTTTTTTTAGCAAATAAATGCAGCTTTGGTGAGCATACGAGACTAACATTACATAAACCTTAACCTAAAATCTGCTGTTGATTGGAGAAAAATAAAGTCACACTTGCACACAGATGAACAAACTGAGACTATGAAGCAGGTCAAAACGGAAGAACCTCTAGCTGTTGCTGTAAAACTCAAGTATACGTGCAAGCATTTGATTACCTGTCAGTCCTTCCACTCCATCCAGCTGAGTAAGCAGCTGATTAACCACACGGTCAGTTACCCCTGTGTTGTCATGACCCCTTCGAGGGGCCAGAGAGTCAAACTCATCAAAGAACAGTATGCAAGGTTTAGCTTGTTGAGCCCTAAAGCGACACAGACACACATTCAGTGATGACTCACTCTAGTGAACTGCTACTATATATCATACAAAAGAGACAGTGCCTTTGGACAGACCTCTGAAACACATCTCTAACCGCCTGCTCACTGGCACCAATATACTTGCTGAGGAGTTCAGGACCCTGGAGAAACACATATGGCATTACAATACATAAATATAAATAACTATAAATTATATATTTATACATTATTTTGATATCAGTATACACACATTCCCTTACCTTGATGCTGATGAAGTTCATGCCGCTCTCTTTGGCAACAGCTCCAGCCAGCAGCGTCTTGCCTGTGCCAGGAGCTCCATAGAGCAGCACACCAGAGCACTGACGCAAGGGCAGACTGGAGAAGAGCAGCGGGTACTGGACACAACAGACCGTTACTTCCAACACAGTTTTTGACTAATGAATTTCCTTGACTTTTCCAGTTAATATGATAACTGTTCTTGCACATATATTGGATTTATTTTAGTTTGGGAAAGCTAGTCTTCCACTAAAATGGACATATTGTGCACAGGGGCAGCTGTACCTTAGCTGGCAGCAGTATGATGTCCATCAGGAGCTGACGTGCCTGATGAAGTCCCCCGATACGCTCCATGCCGGCCCCGCTGGGAGTCTGCAGCTGAGCCCCCCAGAGGGAGGGTGGGGTGAAGCCCTGAAGGGCCTGTCTGAAGTCCTTATAGTTCAGATCTGTGAAAGCAGGAAGCTTAGATTTCAGCAAAACAGCTGAATCCTAGAAAGATATAAAACTAGATTAAGCACTCGCCTTCAGAGCTGCCATTGCTCCTGCTGTGTAGAGTGTTGGCATGGATGGCCCTCTCGAGCAGCAGGTTCAGGTCTTGTGGCATGAATCCTTCTGTTTCTCTGGCAACACTGTCTAGGTCAAGAGTAGTTTGACAGTCCTGGAAGTTCTTTTTGGCTATTAAAGACCTTAGAATCTCAACCCTCTGAGCCTATATAGAGAAAGCATCATATTACAGTCGCTATTTTCTGTGGGGAAATAAAACACCAAGTAAGAATAAAACTAGTCTTGTGTAGTCAGACTTTTGACTATAGGCATAGTCTGGTCAACACTGCAACTTATTCTGGCAAGAATTTAATAACAGAAACATCAAAAACAAAGCAAATCTACTAGCAAAACCAGTTACCTTCTGTACTTAAAAAAAACACACATTTTAAATGACCACATAAAACACACACACACACACACACACACACACACACACACACACGTACGCAATTTAATTTTTTACCCAAACCATGCAGCCCTAGATTGCAGTTTCATAAACCCACCTGATCTGGTGTTTGGATCTTGCAGAAACCTTGGAAGAAGTGTGAACCCTGCACTGCAGTCAGAGTCTGATGAAGGGCATGTTCACTCTGTGCTGTGACCATCAGAGCTACGAGACTGGAGCACACCACCATCTCATCCACCTATCTTCTGTACTTAAAAAAAACACACATTTTAAATGACCACATAAAACACACACACACACACACGTACGCAATTTAATTTTTTACCCAAACCATGCAGCCCTAGATTGCAGTTTCATAAACCCACCTGATCTGGTGTTTGGATCTTGCAGAAACCTTGGAAGAAGTGTGAACCCTGCACTGCAGTCAGAGTCTGATGAAGGGCATGTTCACTCTGTGCTGTGACCATCAGAGCTACGAGACTGGAGCACACCACCATCTCATCCACCAAATCCCTCAGACCTAAGGAGAACATGCAGAGCGAAGGTGTCAATCAGATGGCTGCTCACAGAGATACCTGATGTAGAGTCAGGCATGTCTGTTATGATCACTTACTCTGTGCGATGTGCTGCCGCAGTACTGCCTCTGGCCCATGCTCGTGCTCAGGTGAGGTTGCGGCACCGGTCACGTGATCCAGGTCATCCAGCAGGACCACTGAGGGCTGTCTCCAGACCGCCTGCTCAAAAACCTCTTCCAACCTCTGTCTGATTGTGTCTGCTCTCTTACCTAGGAATTTCATTCATAACATGAAGAAATTTGATGTAAATAAAAGACAAAATGCTTGCATGTTAAATTAGAATGCACAGCAAAACTGGTCAATCTAATTTTCTTGCCTACCTTTCAGTGTCTTACAGTACACAACTTGAACATGGGCATCCAGCTGTTCACTGGCCTTTCGACACAGTGCTCTGGAGAGAGAAGATTTACCACTGCCCTGTGGAGAAATGCAGGAAATTTATCACAGATACCTTGTACTATCTATTTATTCATTCTTTACTTTCATAATATTTGATTGTTATCTTATTGCCAAAAATAGTTACAATGTAAAGTTATCAAGTGCTTGGGAGCTGTTGCTACATTTCATTCAACTCCAAGTCCAACTTTCAAACTTCTGACTTAAAACAGCACTTGAAGTCAAACAAAAAACGAAATATTTTAAATATTAAACTGTGTGGACACAGTTATTCAATATTTGCTGATTCACTTTTAAACTAGTTAAATACATCAATGAATCCAATTCCCTACATTAAGTGATAATAAACCTGTTTATAAAATATATGAAGAGACAGATCTGTGATGTATAATCTTGAATAATGTTCTTTGTTGATAATTGAACACCTGCAAAACAATTACTAGCACTGCCTTAATGCATAAGGAGAGATATCAACTATCTCACATCTGACTTTGAAAGGTCTGTGGCATACATGTCTGAAGTTACCTTTGCACCTGTGATGAGCAGAGCTCCGCCCCTCAGTCCCCGTCCTGTGGAAACCAGTTCACGCGAGAGAGGACCTCCCATTAGAGCGTGAGAGATGTGCTCGAAAGCCGACCTGCTGATGTCCTCTACCCCACTAAGCAAACAGATTCACCAATCGCAAACAACAAAGAAAGGCTACACCGACTCATCAGAAAGTGAATCTGGTTTGCTGCTAAGGATATTAAAAAATACACTGATATTTCCAGTTTTTGAAAAGAATGCAAGCATACCCAAGAGAGCTGAGGGAGGGAAAGCCAAGATGTGGATCTTCCTTATCATTATCAGAGCCGTTGTGGTCAGAATCATGTGGCTCTCTGACAATCTAAGCAGAGATTGAGCTGGTTTGTTGAGAAGGTAGGAGAAGGAAAAATAATGTGTGACTTTATACCTGCACATTTGTTTTCTTTAGTAAACTGGTTGATAGAAAGAACATTTCATCCTCTTGCTGTTGCTCTGGTTTTAGCACAGTCAAGACAAACTCTTCTTTTCCTGAGAAGAGAGAAACCCAGGTTAGTCTGCAATAATAGTAATATGATTGAAAACATATATTTTGATGGTTCTTCCTCACACCTTCAGCACAGGGTAAGAGAATGACGTTAGTGCGGCCTGTCAGACAGGTCAAAGGCTGATGGCTCTGAGCATGTAACCAGTTGAGGAATGCAGTCTGAATATCTTCTTCTTTTTCACCCTCTGCCTGCAAATAGAAAGGAAATAAGTTTACAATACAATATTTTCATTATCTGACAACCTAAAGCATTAAGTCTGAAAGAAAAACATACCAACGGTTTTAATGGCTGCACCATGACTGCTTCTGCAACTCTTGGCATTGATTTCAAAGGCTGAATCCTCACAGCTGATCGAGGGTCTATCTTCAAACGCCTCTGCAGTACCTTTGGGATCTGCAACAACAACAAAAAAGGTAACTAGATTTTTTACTAGAGATACACAAAATCAATAACAAATTAGCCTATATTAGATTTTTCCCCCCATTTATTTGTACCAGTTATACATATATACATAGGTTCTTTCAAGACCACTATCATCAAAGATGAATGACAATTAGCATACAGTTTGGACTGGCGGTATGGTTCTGTTCTGGGCAAGAACTCCCTGTGCATCCATGCAGCCTATCATGGATGAGAGCAGGGAGAGCAACAATAACCCCCTTAGGGTAAACAGAACAGAACCAACATAAATGTATTGCAGATATCATTTATGTTCAATAATTTAATGTAAACGTTTTAGAGATTTATATACAACTGGTACAAATAAATGGAAAAAAATATATAGGATGATAACCAATTTGGTATTGATTTTGTGCATCTCTGTCTGCATATGGATATTCATAGATTTGCTAAAGATCACATATAATAGTGTGATTAAATTAATAAGGTAATAAAAAGTTAGACAACTGTAATCTAAAACTAATGTAAAAATTATCAGACTACTGATATTGGGAGAGTTCCTATTTCTAATTTTTTTTTAAGATTTATTTTTGGTGTTTTATGCCTTTATTTAGATAGGACAGTGTAGGTCAGTGATGGGCGAACTTGGCCCTTCCAGGCCACTTTCCTGCAGAGATTTGATCCAACCCTGATATGACTCACCTGCCTGTAGCCTTCTAGTAGTCTTGAAGACAATGTTTAGCTGGTTCAGGTGTGTTTGATTAGGGTTGGAGCTAACCTATGAAGGAAAGTGGCCTGGAAGGGCCAAGTTTGCTCACCCCTGGTGTATTTGATTAGGGTTGGAGCTAACCTCTGAAGGAAAGTGGCCTGGAAGGGCCAAGTTTGCCCACCACTGGTGTAGGTCAACAGGAAGCGAAGTGGGTGAGGGAGAGGGGGCAGGATCGGGAAAGGTCCGCGAGCTGGAACTCAAACTCGGGACGCCCGAAGTCAGTCCACTGCCCACGAGGCCATCGGTGCCAACCTATTTTTAAATATTTAATATTTTTAAATAATAATATAAATACATTAAAAATAATTTGAAAACAATAATGCTTTTAACAGGGCATTGCCAGGTGGTTGCTAAGGTGTTTTTGTCACATTGTTATACAATTACTATGGTGTTCTGGTTGATTATTAGGTGGTCTCTACTGTCCAAAGTGAAAAGGTCCCATCCCTAGAAATGATGGTGATAAAGAATATTTCTATGAAACATTATAACAGACCTTGAATGGAATAACTTACCCAAACTCTACCAGAGTAAATGTCTTCACATTTATTGAATTTCTGGTCCTCCTGCAGCCTTTTTATGTTGTGACAAAGCATTCTGACCACAACAACGTTCTCCTTATGTTCCTCTGTGTCGTTCCATTTGTGAGGTCCATCTCTGATCTTCTTCTTCTCCATGGCCTGCTTGACTTTCTCCCTGAGTTCTTTAGGAGAAAGGATTTTTGAAAGCCTGCCGTATGTTAGTGCAGACTGCCCTGGATTCCAGTTCTCTTGCAGGTTCCATGGCAGTATATGGACATCTCCGTGACATGAGCCTAGATGGCTGACAGACCTAGGAGGGGTTCCACAGGTCCGGAGGATACAGTCTTTCAGGATGGTGGGAATTGTGGGAACTGTGACATTCTCTTTTGCAGGCTCAAATCCTCTTGTAAACAGGTATCTAACCAGGCTTTTCAGATCAGCTATTCCTCCCCAGTGGCCTTCACTCTGACTCTCCAGATGATCACTGAGGGGATCCTGATGGACAACTGAGCTGGGGGAAGACGTGACATCAGTGCTCTGGTGTTGCAGATATTGGCTTGGCTCTTCTGATCGAGTGTGGAGCAATTGTTCACCTCCTGGATGTAGTTTTGAGAAGACAACAAGCTCAGTGAACTGATCCAGTCGGCCGAAAGGAACAGATGGAGAGAGAGATGCTAAAAAACATAGAATCATTAGTGTAAAAAGATCAGTTCATACCCAACAACAACTCCTGTATGACATGCCTTTAAAAAATAGTGCTGACTGACCTATCCTGATATAGATGACAGTGTGCTGGTCCACCCACACAGGAAAAACACCCTCACTGAAGACCACTCGGATCTGATCCAAGAGTCGCTGCTCCAGAGCCATGCTGTGCAGCGCCTGGAACAAAGTTCAATCAGATATTAGACCGAAAAGACATTCACAACCCATTTTACTTCTGTAATCTGATGTATTCTCAAATAAAACAGGATCAGTGAGGAAAAAATGTAGGAAGGGACTTTGTATCCAGGTTTGAATTGATCGGATCATGAAAAGTGGGTGTTACATATCAGAATGGAGCCAGAAATGAATGCAAGGTCATTCATGCAATCTTTTTATATTTAAAGATATTTAACAAGTGATTTGTTTAACATTTACATCATGTTGACAACTTCATGTGTGGTGCACTTGGAATAGAATGTTCTTTAACTAAAGGGTTAATAAAGAAAACGTTATTTGAATCGTGTTGTAGTTACATTTTCAAGTGGACTTGTTAAAAATCATAAAAATCAAGAATCGGTCAAACGTTCTGAAAAAAAGTGAGATTTTATTTTTTTTTGCCATATCGCCAAAATTATTTTCCATCATCCTATAAACACTTTATAAGCATAAGATGTACCTTTACATGTCGATGGTTTACTATGTCAATGGAATATGAGTATAAATGGAATCGAAAACAATAAAAGAGAATAAATGTATAATACTTGAGTATATGAGTAACATAAAACCGTAATATGAAACAGTAATATGAATATAATGTGGAGTAATAATCAAAGAATAATAAAGAATAACTCATAATAAATATACTGTATAAATTAATATGAAAAATAAGAAAAATATAACAACATTGGAAATTTGCATACACCAGTTTTAAAGGACATATATCACTATATATCAGCTAAACATCTCCTAGAGACTGAAGACTGAGGTAAATGATGCCATGGTGAACTCACCAGGATCTCCCAGTCATCTGGAGACAGAGGCTCTACGAACACCTGCTGCACTGACTGCACCTGATGACACGGCCGCAGATACCCCTACAACACATTACATGCATCTGCTTCAATGGTCCTCAACCTTTTTGCCACACTTTTAAAATTAGCCTTCCTCATAAATCCAGTTTTTCAAGACAAAAACTAAACTAAAACAAGTTAAAATCTTCATGTGTGGTTGATTTGTTCATTTGAATGGATGTTTTGTCTGGTTTAAATCTTTTTAAGTAATCTTGAGATAAAAGAAGATATTGTGAAGAATGTTGGTAACAAAACAGTTTTGGTTTCCATTGATTTGAATTGATTACAGTGACAAACCTGTTCTCCCTCCTTGAGCCCAAGTTTCTCTCCCAGTTGTCTGCAGATCTCAACTCTGTCCTCTGGACCTGAAGACCTGGACCTGATCCAGCTGAGGAACACGGGTGCAGAAACACCCCATGACAGCTCCAGGATCTGGTTCTGACATCACATTAGTGTTGCATGACTCAAAACTTTCAGCACTTTGAATTTGATGGAAGAGAATCACACAGTACAGTGGTAGACTAGTAACTGGCAGCAGCTAGCTGGATACAAACCTCATGAAGACAGAGATGAGTGGCGAAGTTTGATGACAGCTGAAGAAAGCAGTTCTTGGAGTTATTGAAGACTAGCGTGACCGGTTGTATCCCTTGGCTTCCCAACATTTCCTGCGAGGCTGCAGATACCTCGCTTCTACTACAAATTATCCCCTATTTCAATTAATCTGTGGTATTAAAGCCAGTATGCTAAAACCGTCCATCTGAATTGCACGTCAGACATTATAATCACATTGAGTGTGTCGATCAGTCGCTGTTAGAACAAACATGTTCGACTAGCTCCGTCTCGCCGTGTTGCCAGATTTCACTTGGAAAATAAGCAACACAGAATAATTAAACAAACCCCTACTAGCAAAATCAGGCGACCACCCACAACAAAATGTGTAACCAAATTTTTAATGTTATTTATATTTCATTTTACGCGTCGTTGAACCTAGAGGACGAGCTTGAACAGACTTAAAAACGACTAATGGTTCAGCTCGATACAGCGGGTGGAGATATAACTGCTACTAGTTAATTTTGTTGTGCTAGGGGACCAACACTAGCAAGCTGAAAAAATACGTTTGTATCCTGGAATTGAGCCCCAAAAACCGCGACCCACGACTATCTATTTTTATAAGTAAATTTAAGAATAAAGGAGCGCCAGTTTCCTAAAATAAGCGGTCATGCCACTTGACAACTATTTCAAAATAATTCAGGGCAAAAATAAGATATGGTTGTAAGGCGCTACGTAAATTACTGATTTAAAATTTACTGTTTATTTATTATGACACTTTATACCATTCCATTAAAATACACACTTACACAGAGAAAAACGGTCTATGGATCTGACGTCATCACGCGAATCAAGATGGCGGACCGGAGGGGTGGGAAGGAGATGTTGATTCCCAAGGTGGTTGGCAACAGCTGGACTGTGAATGGACAGAGAGTGTGGAGGGAAGTGACGGATCAGGAAACGAACTAGGAAAGATGGAAGTAGGTGGCGGGATGTATGAAAAATGGGAAACGGCTAGGAATAATAAACGGAAAAAGAAAAGGAAAAATAAAACAGATGAAAGTGACTCAGACAGGGGATCGACTGTGGAGGAGAAGCGGAGGGAGGAGTATGTGGTTTTTGCAAAACTTGTGGACGAAAACACCGAAGAAGAAGTCTATGGATTTATGACTTTTATTTTGAAATGTTGTATTTGTGGATGTGTTCAGTTTCTGTGTTCCCATTGAATCCATGCGCTTGACTTGCAGAATAGATCAATCGAACTGAGAGTCAATTGATTTCTATGAGCTGAAACCGCAATTCAGTCCTTGCAGAGCAATAACTCCAACTGATGGAAATGAATAATATGTTTATTGTTTAGGTCCATTTTAGCAAACATTTTATTGCTCTGAATGTTTCGTTAATTTTGACATGGAGGAAGTGGAGACAGCAGAGGAGCTGTTAGCCAAACAGCATCGCAAGGAAAAGAAAGACCTGCAAGGTAAGACAACATGTCACTACCTTTAAATTAAAATAAATATATAAATATGTATGAGACTAGGATTATATAAACGAAATAAATATGTGTATAGTGCATACTAAATATAGATGTCTTTTTTGTGTCGTAGCAAAAATACAAATTATGAAAAATGCAGTTACCAAAAATGACAAGAAGAGGAGGAAACAGCTGACTGAAGACATCGCCAAACTAGAGGCTGAACTCACTCAAAAACATGAAAATGAGCTCGAACAACTTCAGAACTCTTCCTCAGTAAGTCAAACTATGATGTTGTTAGACGTTAAAACACCCTACCTAGAAACTGTCCAGTAGATACATATGAGTGCAGCTCACTTATACAATCATGGATTGTTCCAAGGTGGAGGAGGTTTCAAATGCAATGGATTCCGTCAGTTTGGCAAATGATGAGGAAAAAACGGATTCAAGCAAGCAAACTCGGACATCTAAAGCCCAGAAGAGACGGGTAAGTTCTTTTCGATTTTGGTGGCTGTAGTTTAAAGTCTCTTTTAAGGATGCTAAAAATTCTTGGTGTATTTAGGACAAAAAGGCTGCTCTTGAGAAGGAGCGGCATAGCCGGATTGCTGAGGCAGAAGTGGAGAATCTCACAGGCTCCCGTCATCAGGAGTGTCTGAAGCTGAGACAGAAGCTGATGGAGAGGCACCTGCAGATCAGAGAGATCTCCTCTGACGGTCACTGCATGTACTGCGCCGTGGAGGATCAGCTGACGGAGCGAGGCACCCCTCTCAGCCTTAAAGAGCTTCGGGCTCAAACAGCTCAGTACATGAGGAGCCATGCAGATGACTTCCTGCCATTCCTCACTGACCCCAATTCAGGAGACATGTACACTGCAGGTGAATGCCCAACTCTCTGCCATACACTTCCAGAATATGATCGAAATACAGTAAAAAATTATATATTATTAAAATTTCAGATAACCGGTTTTTATTTTAAAGGAGACATATTATGCCCCTTTTTACAATATGTAATATAAGTCTCTGGTGTCCCCAGAATGCGTCTGTGAAGTTTCAGCTCAAAATACTCCACAGATCATTTATTATATCATTTTGAAAATGCCTATTTTGAGTGGAAGCAGAAACACGCTGTTGTTCGGGCCTGTTTCTTTAAATGCAAATGAGCTGCTGCTCCCCGCCCCCTTTTCCAGAATAGAGCTGCGCCTTTACAGCTTGGACCTGCTAAAAACATCTGGAAAAGTCAGATTTTCATGATATGTCACCTTTAATATATTTTACAATGTAATTTATTCCTGTGAAGGTAAAGCTGAATTTTCAGCAGTCATTACTCCAGTTTCAGTGTCACATGATCCTTCAGAAATCATTCTAATATGCTGAATTGCTACTTAAGAAATATTTTTTATTATTTAAATGCTGAAAACAGTTGTGCAGATTAATATTATCGTGGAAACTGTGAAATAATTTTTCTCAGGATTCTTTAATGAATAGAACATTCAAAAGAACAGTGTTTATTTGAAATGGAAATCTTTTGTATCATTATAAATGTCTTTACTCTCACTTTTCTGATCTTCCTGACCCCAGAGTTTTGAATGGATATGTGCAGAAGTATTTCATTAAGCTGAATGCTTGTTGTTTCATGATATGAATGGATTCTGGATTCGTTTTTACTTTAGATGAGTTTGAGAAATACTGCAATGATGTTGCAGACACAGCTGCTTGGGGCGGACAGTTAGAGGTAAGAATACCAGACAATATGCCGTTGTAAATGGCACATTAAAAGTCATAATCCACCATTTGCCTATTTTTTTAATATCAATGCTTTTCATATTTTCTCCATGACAGTTAAAAGCCCTTTCACAGGTCCTCCAGCTACCGATAGAAGTCATTCAGGCAGAATCCCCCTCTATTAATATTGGTGAAGAATATGACAAGCCACCAATCACACTCGTGTAAATAACTGAGGATGTTTATTTATTTAAAAATAAGATTTGGTACAAAAGGTTTCTGTACTGCTGTACTAAAACGCGCTTCACTGTCTCTTTCAGTTATATGCGGCATGCGTATGGACTTGGTGAACACTACAATTCTGTGGAGCCTCTGAAAGACTTTGCAAATGAGGAAGAGGGCTGACCCATCACTGACACACATTAATATATGCATCTGTGCATATTAATTAGCCTGTAGAAGTGGACCTTCTGGAATTTGATTCCGTTTTGCTTGGATCAGTGGATTCGGTCATGCTCACAGAGGATGATGAAATAACACATGCTGGTGACTTCAATTGCAGTGGACAAGCGTCATGTAACAGTCCATGCTTGCCTGTGTTATTTATGAATAAACTGCTATGTGCTCTGTTGTTTTTGGAAAACTGCATATCAGCAAGTAATTTGCTCTAAGAGGTGCTGGATCATGGTCACGCTTACGCTGTTAAATAAAGATAACTTTATATCAATGATAAACTTCTGTGGTAAATAACATTAAATAGTCATCCACTTTAAAAAGCAGAAAAAACACATCAAAGGTTAGACTAAACCACAATTAAAATCATATCACTTCATAATTTGACAGTCTATTCAATGGATATTCAAATCGTTGTATAAGGGCAAATATTAATTTTAAATGCCCAAAAATGTAATGTTTAGCTGTATTTATACAAACCTGTTACTACATGATTTTCCCATTATAAAATAATGTAAATAAAATAATTTAAAAGATAAAATACATTTGAATAACGCTTCAGTTCCTATTTTGTACACTAATCGAGGAAAGTTGTCAATCATCTTTAGTCAGTATTGAGTCTACAATGTTGCATGTTATTCTCATGTTAGTCCGCCAGGTGGCGCCAGTCAACACTACGACAGACTTCGCGTTCCATCTCCATGAAAACATGAGAAAAGTCCCAAGTAGACGATGCAAGTGAAGCGTCAAATGGAAAACCATTCAATTATCAAAGCATTAAAAACGAAATCAAAGTCACTTAATTTGAGCTCTAGGAAAATTACACATTCCAGAATTTTTTGGGAGGCTGACATGGATTGTTGTATTAAAGTTTAATAATAATTATCTGTCGAGTCTGCCGTCTGAACTGGTGTGTTTGCAGAAGGTGAGTTCGTTTCATCTGTATCATAGCTTTGTTTTATACTTTTTATACTAATATAGTTATTCTATGATAGAGCCCAAAATAGCATATGAACCAGAAGTAAACAAGTTTGACCAACAATAAAACACTGGAAACAAGAAACCGCACGACAAATACTTAAATGTCGTTTTCATGTTATATTTATAGTTGACAGATCAATCTGGGAAATAACGTTCTTGAGGAGATCCCACCTGTGTTAAAACACCTCAGTTGTCTAAATAAACTTTATTTATATGGAAACAAAATCAGCCATTTGCCACCAGAGGTGCTGGGTAAGATCAAACTCTTATTCAGGTTTATTTTATTGAAGTGGGTCAGTAGTATTGAATTGTATTGTATTGTATTTGCAGAAGGTCTACCAAACCTTGAGCTTCTAAATGTGAACCACAATAGAATCAAGGTCATTCCTGCAGAAATAAAGAGGTGAGATGACTCAAGTCTGTTGATGCTATTTGACTAGCATGTTATCTGATTTTTTAAATTTTTTAATTGATTTGCAGGCTGTGTAGTCTAAAAAGCATCAGTGTCACAGACAATCATTTGCAGCAGATTCCATCTGAACTGGGCTTGCTGAAGAGTTTGACTGAGATTAACTTCACTAATAATAAACTGACTCAAATACCACAGCAGTTATACAGTTTACCACAGCTGAGGAAATTGTACTTGGCCCGAAACAACCTGACAGAACTACCAGAGGCAAGACGGACTACTATCATCATACTTTACTCAATTGTTATGCATATTAGCTTATTAAGTGTTTGTTCTTTGCTTATGGCGCTCTTGGATGGAAAAATGTGAAGATCTTGGATGTTGCTGGAAACTGTTTATCTGTGTTTCCAGTTGGTGTAAGTTAGTTGGACAAATTGCCAGCCATTTCAGCTGTTTATTTTAGTTATTTACTAATCATTTTGTCAATGTATTTGTATTTATTTATTAAATAAGATGATTATACTGAAATATATATAATATATAGCTGGTTCTAAATGTTAATTAGTGGGACTTCAGCCCACTTAAAAATCTGTGATTAAGTGTAATCGTGTGAAGACTGACAATAGTAATGAAAACAAAAATAAATGAAGAAGCTTTTTTTTATTTGAGTATCATATTTGATGTATTAAGCTTTTATGAGATTGTTTAACAGCATAGCAGACTACTCGCATAAAATACATTGAAATATCAGTTGTCACTCTGTATTTAGATCTGTACTTTTAATTATATGTGCAAAGTAAAGTAAAAAGTAGAAATAATCAAGTTTCTTCAGCCAAGTGTTCACCTTGAAATAGCACTAACAATATAAAACATGCTAAAAAGAATAAACTTATCAACCAGGTGATAGCAGGCATCATATAGTAGATTTTTCAGCAACGTTTTGATAATTTTGGTAATTTATATGCCTTAGAAATTTGCGTATTAAAAAGGCTTTATAGGATTAATGTTAACTTTTGTTCACTATCTCATATACTATATAAAAAAAATTTTTTTAATAATATTTTAAAAATGTTCTTTCTCTTTAATTTTTTGTTTCAGTTTCTTACATTGGAGGAACTGTTCTTTGAAGGAAACAGTTTAGTTCCATTCACACTGATGGAGTCCATTCAAGAGAAAGAAGTCTTCTCATTAAAGGTAACTTTTTACATATATACTGTACATATTGCATTATATATATTTATTTGATTTATTAATTCATTTATTACAATCATTAATTATTTTTTGCACATTGTTGAACAAATCTGATTGTTGTCTTGCTAGTATTCCACTAGAGGATGTTCGTAGTGCGAAAAAAATTCGAAGTCATTAGAAATGGTTAGTTTTAACTATAACTTTTCCATGGCGCTGCTGACTGTAGTTTAATGTCTTCAGGAGCTCTCAGCCAGGCTGACCCTCCAGCAGAGCACTAATAAGTTGTCAGTGGTGTCCAGAGCTCTGCCAGCATACCCAGAGCTGCAGGACATGCTGTCTCACTGGGGCCAGTGTGCTTTGTGCTCACAGCCCTTCCTCACCACCTGGCTGGAGTGTGTGCAGTTCATCAACACCAGGAAGGTACCAGCTCATTCTGCATAACACCAGTGTTCAGCATTCAGTGCCTGTGGCAGTCGATGCACACAAGTAGTGCTGAAGTTGAAAATTGGCAGGCCGCGCTTTGCTCAGGATGTTTGATGAAAGCTTAATGGTTTGACAACCTGCTGAATAACGCTTGCATAATAGGTGTTTATTATGCCATAACATTTGTTATTTGAATCAACAAATATTAACAGGGTCACAATTTAACTTAATGCCCCTGATTGGTAAATACGAGCCAAAACAACAATGCCAATATATTACTACTTTTTTTTCTGTATGATCCACATTGCATGGCAATAAAAGTACAAGAGAATATTAGACTCTTCTTTAGTAATCGGAGTCTGTTCTTTTGTCTTTGAACAGCACATGGGAATGAAAAGCTCTCAGTCTGTTCCAGTCAGAGTTCTGCTGTGTTCTTACGACTGCTTCAACAGAGACGACCATCAGTACTATGGGCTTGTACGATTATAAATTAAAAATGCATCTTATTACCCCCTGACTGATCATTTTTTAAGTCTCTGTTTATTATAAAGAATGAATAGTTTATGTTTTTGCGATACACCAGCAGATGGCAACATTTGATCACTGACAATATTTGATCTGGCTGTCAGATTGATATTTGCAGAAGTGAATCTCTCTTTTTTTTTTTTGCATGAATCTAACAATAATGCAGTATGCTTATATATTAAACTCAAATGTCATGCACATCTCTATCATTAATACTTTACCTTTGAAAACATTTTATGTTACAGTGAAATAAAATGATTTATGTGAATCATTTTTAAGTGCACAATATGACCTCTAATATGTAGTCATTATACATTTCCTCCTGAGTTGATTTTAAAAGTCATTTTGAAGTAATCTGAAGCACCTGCCACAGGCTATGCCCAATTTTGATATTTTTTCCATTCACATTTTCCCCCTTTCTATAGTCTGGCTTTACGCTTGCCATTATAATTCCCTTAAATGAAAGCACTCCATACCTACCCTCTGTTTGGGCCAATGGCATCTGTTCTAACCTGAGAGGAAACTTCATCTCTCCAAATTAATTTCTCTTGCAGGCCTCCTGAGCTCAGAGCAGAGTCTACCGAGTTGGGCCTGATGAATAATGCAGCAGGTTTAATTGCAAAGCCAGAAACTAATGACTTTGGACTGGTTAACAGCAGGGAACCATACATCTCTGCAAACTGAATGAAAAATCAGTTCAGAAAAAAGAAGGGGGGGGAGAAAACGCTAATTGATGAATAATTAAAGCTTGAGCTACAGGGCATAATTGTGACATTTTGTTTCAATCAATTTAGAAGTGCGGGGAAAAGTGCACTTAGGAAACTAATGGCGACTGTGTGGATGTCCACTGAAAAGTGCCACGAGACTCAGTCATTTATTATACAGCCCTCAGTCAAACTCAGCCATTATTCTAGAGCAGTTGCCTCAATTTCCAAGTGATTGTGCACTTGACGGGCGTTAATGCGCCTCACAAATGGTATATGGACTCCCCGTGAAAGGAGGAGAGAAGATAGTGTAAACAAGTCTGTTTCGGTCTGATGTTACTAAATTACTTTCTTTGAGGCAAATGTACCAACAAGCAGAATGGTGTTATTATAGCACAATTCATAACACCCCACACGGGACCTCGTTATATGGCCATATATTGTATATACACATATATTTTCTTATTTTATTAATTACTTAGCACCTTATTTAATACATTTTATTCTTATTTGTCATTGTAAAATTTTATTTTTTCCTTGTCATTTCTAATTTTGTGTATAAGACAATATTCTATGTACAAATTCATGCAAATAAACTGACAAATTGTACTGCAGACTGACAAACTTTGAGTATTTGAGTGAAAAGTTTCAGTACTGATGGACTATATCAACACTCACTGAACTCAGCCAATTAAATGCAAGGAACGGAGCTGACTCTTTAATATTTGTTGTGTCGCAATGTTCAGCTCATATTCTACTTAATGATATTCGGCAATTATTAAGGCAACTGTTAAGAGAACTCACAAATCTCAATCTCCATTTACAGTGCATAGTGTAAGCTTAAAATACATAGAGGCTAGAGGGCTTTTTGTTAATTAGTTTTTGTGTACATTTACATTTGTGTGTGCATTAGGAAGCACACCAGCCCGAGTATTTCTTTGTGTCTAGTCTGAAACATCCTGCCTTTGTGGCAGCCATTACTCAGTGCACTGGAAACAAATGGCGCACCAGTCTCCTCCATCTCTGTAGCTGGATTTTGAACGCCCGAGGACAGCTTTGAGGCTACCAGAGCAGAGTTTACCGCATGATCTGTGGCCTTTGCATTACAGGCAGATCACCGCTCCATTTTAGAGAGAGAGAGAGCATCTGAAATGAAACATGCATTATCCCAGAGAGCAGATGTTGGGGTCCTGGAGCAGCAGGACCGCCTCGGGCCCTGTCTGGTGTCAGCGTGTGTGTGTGTGTATTTGCGGATGTGTATATGTGCGTGAGCAGCTCTCCTCTGTCAGACCACTTTGTTAAAACAGAGCCCAGCCTTTCCCCTTGTTTTGCTAACCTCGTTTCACACAAACACTCCACTGTTGTTTTCATACATCAACGATGTGGGAATGTCACGACACGTCTGGTGTGCCCGAGCCCCTGTTTGTGGGCATTTGTGCCGCCTGAATAGAGAGAATGTGTTTGATTGACATTAATAGCAATGCAGAATATCTGTCAGCGGAGAAAATATCACACAGTGGGAGACGCAGTGGAGAACTGAGAGCATTATTCCTGTACACTCTGAACATGCATGCCATATGTTAATTAGGAAGTCTACACTGATATAATTACTGAAAGGGAATATTGCCTATGGTGAGAATATCTCCTCGCCACCTCATGGGGAATGTAAAGGAAGATAAAGTAGGTGTGCATAAATTTTAATTTACTAGCCTTGAAACGGGAAGAGTAATGTTGGCAAATTCACTCAGAATGATCTATTGGAGAGCCAGAGCTTTATTACATTTCTTCTTTGTCAGACTATTTAAGCTCCTATCAAGCCCCTCACACACAAACATGTGCACATTAAGAGCGCTTCAGTAGCTACGTTAAAGATTAGATCTCTTTAATTGGGTTTCGTTTGACCCGTTTCAGAGATTTCACCGTAATGCATGACGGCACCACTTATAATGGAAAACTGAATATTCCCACTTAAATATTAGCAGTGATAGGTTGCACAATCATGTATTTAACTTATTTACATGCAGTCTGTTACTTCACTATCTATCATATACGCAACATGAATTGTTTATAATATAGCACTGACAGGGCTTTATTGTCACCGTGGACTTTGACAGATTAGCCAAACAAGGTTTCATCGCACCATATTGCTGTCATAATCTCTAACACACATGTAACCGGAATGAGATTGCTTTGATTGTGCTTTGCTCGAGGCATCCCTGCTCATCTCTCTAGTCTCCCGGGTCCATCTTTATACCCCTGAATGTCCTTGAGCGCTGGTAAGAGAATTTGACCCTTTTTAATTATAAGAATATGCACTGAAAGAGTGAAAACACTATTACATAGGCTATTTATCTTTTTTCCCTTTTTTATGTTCAATTTGTGTAAGTACATTACATCCCGCCTCATAGAAAAGTGGAAAAAAAAACAAGGTTTCTGATTACATTCTGACCACATCATTACTTTTATACATCAAAGCTTGTCTTTCATTTCTCAGATATGTCAAATCTCTAGGGAGAACAGGTCTACCTCTCTGAATATGAGTGGTGTGGGTCGATTTTTAGTCCTACAACCAGACCTGTTATCTTCTGAGTTCAAGTATTAAAATTAGCATCATTGATTGGTGTATTGGCCTGCTTCGGAGAAGGGGAAAAACAGCTACTCAATACCACGCAGTGAACCACTGTCAAGCTAAGAAGAGCACTCTCCAATCAGGGAAATCTATTGTCTGGCATCTTATGCTGGATGAGGGCTCTCCTATTGAGCTGCTGGCATGGCACCAAGGCGTTGTCAACATGATGGTTGCACAATCAGTCTGTCACACTTCTTCTAGGTACCACTAGGGGGCAATGTGTCTCTCTGGTAAACGTCCCGACAGCAAGCGGGATTGAAAAGCATTGAAGCAGAGCCTGTGAAAGCATCTAAATGAGAATACCATACACTAAACAAAATGGCTGAGGAGGACTGGAGATGTGCCAAAATGTAACCAGAAAAATATGATTAATCAGGAACACTGAAAATAGGATTGTTTTTAGGCAGTGCTTTCGCCCAAAAAGACTTCAATAGAAGGTTTTGACTGAGCGTCAAGCTTTGTAGATTGTCATATTTTATTTTATATATAATTGTGCCTAAAATCAAAGCCAGAGCTCAGTGTTTAAAGAAAATGTGGTGTTCATTTGGTATATTGATATTTGTTTCTATAAAAAGAAAAAGGCACATTCAGAAGCATCCCAGCCTTGTAAGGCTTTGTTTTTCTACCTCGGCAGTAAGTGTTAGACAGAGTGAAGCGCGGAGGCTTTGAGGTGAAGATGAGGCTATACCATCATTGGCCCTCTCTCCTCATTAGCTGGAGCGCCACAGAAAGGCCCTTTCACTGTGGCAGTTTTGGGTCATTCGCCCCTTTTTCCAAGTCTAAAAACACCTTGTGTTGTTAAGAGCAAGAAGACACAGAAGAAGCAAAAAACTTCAAAGCTTTAATCTTGTTTCGTGCTCTTTGAGAGTTTCAGTAGTCACAATAATGACTGTAGACTATCCACAGGGAATTATAAACCTGGGCCTTTTTCGTACTTTTGAGAGGCTTTGTTTTTTCTCGGAAAGTTGGTTTTCAAGTTTTGTAATTTGAAACAAACTACAGCGGATGCACTGAACCAAACAATCCTTTGATGCACCTTGGTTGAAAGAAAAAGAAATGGGGAAAAAAAGGTCGGCGAATTCTGTGCAAAGACACTGGGGTTGATATGAGCATTACTAGAGTTACTAGTGCAGAGATTCTCTTCTAGAAGTCCACCATGCTGCTATTTAAAGCAGACATGAAATCAAAACTGAATTGTTGGTGCATAATTTATCAGTTTATCAGTGTTTATCAGTGCTTCACTCTGAAATGACCTTTCTTTTTGATTATATCACCTATCACTCTTAAAAATATACTACCTAAAGGGGGGCGGCGGGTTTGTAGTGATGCAGTAGAACCATTTTTGTTTCCACAAAGGCTCTTTCAGATTCCTTAAATGTACATTTTTTTCTCAGTATTAAGAATATTTTAAATCTAAAGAACTTTTTATACTATAAAGAAATGGAAATGTTCCATGGATGTTAAAAGTTCCTCAAGGAACCGTCAATGCCAATAAAGAACCTTTATTTTTAAGAGTGTAAGCCCAAAACATAATGTTTAACCAATTGCCACATAGCTATATAGATTTTAGGCTGTTTAGCTAGCTATTTTTTTAGCTATTTATTTTAGTTTTCTTCACCACTCCTTGACAATAGTGATGTAATGCTTATT